ATATTTAATATCTGAAAATTTAATTAACATTTATTAATGATATTAATCTTTATCCGAGTATAAAATATTTGGTAAACAAATATAATGGATATCTTATCAAATTTAGAAGCAATTCGTTTGTATTAAAACTATTCTACTATAGTTTATTATCCTTCACTAAGCCTCTCATACGCGTAAAATATATTTTATCTTTTTTATTTACGAGATTGCCCTATAGATTTTAGACAATTGAAGTTATATATTTGGTAATTAGTTTTTTATGATACTTGCAATAATTTATGATTTAATACGGTATAATGAAAGCTACCAAATGTATGAAAATATGATAAATTGATGTAATAAACTCTTTTTTATGAGTTCTTTTCCCATATGTTCAATAAATCAATCGACATATCATATGTATTTTCCAGGATTAAATAATCATTAAGATTAATCTGTCACAGTCCATTCATTTAAAATAATAAATCTTTGAGATGTAATATTAATTTTTAATATTTTTACAATTCCTAGTACAGTTTTTACAGTTCCATCTATTATTTCTAATTAAAATTTAAAAAAATGATTTATCACTCACGATGTGCAACAGCGGAGTCATAAGCTAAATTATAAAATAATTACAAAACATATTTAAAAGATTAAAGAACATAATTAATTTAAAAAATGTTATTGCACCCACATTAAATGATTATAAACAATTCTACAAATAATTAATAATGAATAATAATTAAAAATTACTCACGTTTCGTTGTTTCCTGATGTCTCCTAAACTTTCTTTCTCTCTTTTTCGATTCCTCTGCTGCTTTTTGTTTCTTCATGACACTCACTAATTCACTAGATGACATCCACTAATCACGCGAAAACTCTTGCACAGAACTTTCGGATCGATAAATTATTAAGTGTTTGTAAGAAATGATCGCGTTTAGTATTTCTCGCAATTGCGAAAGATATGATACGCGGTGTGATTTATAACGTCGCCTCGCCCCCGAGTCTCAAAGGATAGCAACATCACCTCGTGTATATATCACACGCAAAAAATAAATTCCGAGTGCCGTACGTTTCGCCGATTCATTGTCGTTGAAATATTGAACATCGAACATTCGATTCTTGGCATTTCGAATCAATTGTTAATAAATGTTTACGATATATCGCAGCTTGAATATAGAGATCCGATCTTTTAACGTCGCGTAAATAAATCGCGTGAAATATCTGTCGTGATGAATAATTGACACCGCGGTACTCTTACAGATCATTACTCGCGCATATTAATCAATTGTTAATAATCAAAATGTGCGTAACACAATCGTGTTGCGAGAGAGATGCGCGGAGCGGCTCCGCAATGCCGCCTGCCGGCGCGGCTTTTGCCGCGCGAGTGTGAGCGCGACCGTGTCTCACGTAAACAAACACCATCGCTACGCGCGTCGCAAAACGAGAAAACATGGCGATACCATGTTACGAAGTATTGTTATCAGTATTTTACTCTTCCCACTCTTCCCTCTCGCTCACATTTCAAATTAATTATTAATCGATATTATCAAACGATGTATAAGTTGCGATTGCTCGAGTCACTCGATTCGGCGAGACACGTATACTTCGTGATCGTGATATCGGAAATGATGGACAAATCACACACGCGAAAGATTAAAAACGCGAGACGAGTTCTCGTCCAATCATTTAACGAAATTTAGAGCGATGATTGCCGTTATTATCGGAAATATTCCGATAATTTTCCTTTCTTTTTCGATTCCTTCTAGATGAATGTATGAATTCTCTATCGTGGTAATTAATTAACGGTAAGTCCGAGACTCGTTCCGAGAATGTTCGTTCATTCGTATGAGGAACTAGCGTTTAATGTATTTTTAATATTTTGCCTCGTGGCGTTATGTGACGATACGCGGAGTGATTTGTCCTGCTACCTGTTCGTTCGAGCGTTGTCGCGTGATAACGCGGAGACCTTACGTTACACGACACGATGGTACTGTTCGCCGTCAAAACAAATACCAAGTCTATGCCAACCAACTTGCTACTCCAAACATTCGCGTAACAACATAATTGGGAATATCTTGTTTCTTGTATTTCAAGTTAATTTCAACGAGCCACAACGAGCTATCATATATTATCTTCCGCATGATTTTTTATAAACATTATATATAAAGTTTATTTTTGCTTTCGTTGAAAAAATATGAAAATTGATATTTAATATTCATTTTCATATTCATATCATTTTTTTCATGTTTTACGCGTTGAGAAGAGCAAAATTATGTGATTTTAATTAATTGATTAAAAAATTGCTTTTAATAAATGAAGAATTAAATTAATTCAAATTCATGTTTTTTCTATAAATTTATTAAAATGGTAAAATTACACAATTTTATTTTTCTAATTATAAAATTTAATAATATAAAAGGATAATGATAATTTAAAGAGCAATTATTTTTTCTATTTTCCTGTTATAAAATAAAAATAAATTTTATCTTATAAAAATTGAAATGAAACATTAATTTAATAATTTAATAATTTATTTTAACTGGAGTAATTAAACATAATTATCTGAATTTTCATTGGAAGTATTAAATAAACATGTAACGATTAAAATACATAATTAATAAATAATTTATGTATATCAGCTGATTATTATATTTATTTCTCAATTATATACTAATATTTATATTACAAACTAATAAAAGCTAATAAAAAAAATACAAGAAATTAACAAATAAAATCAACTAAACAATAAAAATAGTTTTTATTTACTCCGAGGAAATCAATATATAATAAAGAACAAATAAGTACATAAATATATTTATAAACCTGAATGGGTAAACTGGCATTTTTACATCCAGATTTTCTACTCTAATTAATTTCCAAAATGCACGCTCTTAAAATATTAAATAATTATGAAATTATTCTGAACATTTACCTCTTTTTTTTTTTACAATAATTTAATAAACACTAATAAAAGAATGAAAAGAAGATTATCGATAGTATGCATTGTGTGTATAAGATACATGCATATAAAATAAATAATCTTTACGATTTAATAATTCAGAGCGTTACGAATTCCGTGCATTATTCATATAATATTATTAATTTCTGTTTCATGATTAATTTATTAAATTAACAGAAACACGTAATTATGAAAACCTGGAGTATATGATATAATTTTATATACAATGCGAATACTTATACGCGTATAAATATTGAAAACATATATGTACAGGCGTACTGTGTTACTAAGTTTAACTCGATCATGAAATCTTGATGAATTATCTTCTGGAATCGTGTTATATTCAAGTCCACTTGCGGACAACGAAATTACAACGAGAACTATGTCAACCTACATAGAACGACGAAATTGTTGAGACGATGTTGTTTCGGCAGATACGGTTTCCGTAATGGCTATTTCACGAGCTAGAGTGAAGATAGTAAATAAAAAAGATTAAATACCATGTTTCATTAAAGTAATATATTTGTCGTAACTTTTAAAAGTTTTTAAGAATTTTTAAGAATTTAAGAAAAGCATAAAAAGAAAGAAAAATCTAATATCTGATGTTGGAAGAAAAATTATATTTTTAAAAATAATTAATAATATACGAAACTTTGGATGTATTGAAATATTTCAATATCTATTTTTTAATGTTTATGTTTCATATTTTATAAAAATGTGGCGAAAAGAAATCGAAAAGAAATTTTTAACCTCTCTGAGAAATCTTTTAAAGAAGAAGTTTGTGATATATTTCATATATATTTTCTGGAAATATTAAAAAACTTTTCTTGCGGACTTTTCCTCTGAAATGAAAGTTATTGGTGTTCTCTTTAATGCAATTATTATATTAATGGAAAGTCGACTAATTAGAAAATGTTAAATTCAACGTTTCGAACGTTATTAATTAACACATATAAATTATTACACGGAAATTAAAAATTATCATCGATAGAAATATATTTTAATTGTAAAAAGATCTAAATTATTAATAATTTTAATTATTATCATTTCGTCGATTTACGTAAGATCGGATGTATCTATCTCGATCGTTAAAAATGTGCCGTGAAAATGTGCAACTTCCGGATGGTCGCTCCGGATAATAGATTCTACTATGATAGTGAATCAATTGTTTGTCATCGCGCTGAATCGTGACAACGAGTGAAAACAGGTGATTACAACGGCACAGTGGCCGATATTATTATATCGAAAGTATGACATACGCGCTGTCTCGCATTTCCGCGATAGCAGAGGGTTTAAATAATGGGAGCACACCGGGAGCACGCGTTGCACAAAATCGCATGAACGGGGGATGTAATTCAAACATTTGCCTTTGTTTTCGTTGTGTGAAACGGCAACATGCAATGAGACTCGTCTCGTGCATTAGAAACAGCCGTAATTACTGTTCGATGTACCGCTCGAGCGGCACTTCATCGAATGCCGGTGTAACCTCGCTCAATCATCATAAATGTATTCGCAAAGTCGATCAGCTATTTATAATTCGTTGGCGATCCTAATTTCATTACCGTGCTCGCGATTCTATTTGCACCGCGAATAAATTGGAAGTCGCGATACGTCTCCCGTGAGAAACGGCGATTGGAAAATTCTCCTTCCATCTCTCGCGCGCGGCTACAACGCTCGGCTGTATTACGCCTTTGCGGTGAAATTCCGGATTATATGTTCTTCTGCTTGACAGTACACCTACCGCCACCGGTCATAGAACACTACGAGTTGAACAACCAAGAAAAGGCGGGGATATCCTTTCCATTTTCAATCTGTCGCAAAATGCGCTGGAAGCTTTGTAAGAGAAAGAAGAATTGTACTATTATTTCTGGAAATATTTTTGAAAACATGAAAATATCACAACATGTAGTACTGCACGATTAAAATATATCGGAAAATGTTGCATTACGTTGAAATAAACTAAAGCACATTGGTAATTTCGATGTACACTCAAAGAAATGTTTCGCTGGTCTAGTTTCACCGTTTCTTGTATCTGCTACAAAATTGTCTGTTGTATATAGAATTTATAGCAGCGTATATCTAACAATATACGCAAAAAAATTTAGATTTTGTAACTAAATTGCAGTTATTTTTATAAGAAGTGTGACCGAGTATTATCTGACTGGGCGTCACAGAGAGACCTTTTTGCTAAAATTGTTCAGATATAAATTCTGCCATCTATATTGATCAGATACAAAACATATGCGATATCGCGGTGCTTGCTAATCGTTTATCCATTTAATTCAGCAAATTTTTCGTATCTAAATAATTTTCGCTATTGACTGCGAGACCGTTTTTTTTCCGGTGTATCTTATAAAGAGCTGTTAAACTGTAAGACGTAAGATCTGAGAATTCGCGGAAAGGAAAGTAAGAATTCAAGAGCTCGAGAATGTAATTCGCATTTATATAACGTGCGTAATCATAATTTCCGCGTCGTTACGATTTCCTACAGCTTGGTTAAAGCTACTTGGCTCTTTTATATCCGTGCGGTTGTACTCTTCGCCGCACCATACGTGCCACAAGCAGCTTGATAACGACCGGGTTCTTTAATGCAGGCTCGTCGCATCAGCCGCAGCGACCGGTAATCATTTCTCCACAGTAAGACAAAAAATTCAACTAGGTCATTTCGTCGTTTGAATTGACGCGGATGAAATTGAATATGATCAGCACAAACAGCTTCGTTCTCGTTTTCATTCTCGTTCTCGTTTTCTTCTCTCTCTCTCTCTCTCTCTCTCTCTCTCTCTGCCTCCCTCTATCTCTATCTGTCTATGGACGCGCCCTCATCGTTATCCTGTCGGCCGTCACGCATAATACTCGGCGACCAGCTCGAAATTCAATTTACATATTCATGACAATTCATTTGTACCCCACGGCACGATGTAGCCCACCCCTTGGAGAAGGTCTTATTAATTCCTTGGCATGTGCCTCGCTAAATTCTCGAGGCGAGGAATAAAGAAAGAGAGAACCAATCTCATCCGAAGGAGGGTGCGAAACCTATTTTCGATACGGATTCGCACAGAGTTCTACAGAGTGCTCGGAAAACAGCATCAAGTAGTTGGAGAATTACAATAGGAAGGAATTTGCAATCAATTTCTCAACAGACGATTTAAGACCTCTCTTAGCTCTTTAACATCCAGTTGTAGTCTTCGATGCCAGTGCTTAATTTCTATTGAAATAAAATTCATCCTATGTTAAAGGAAAGATAATAAATGAAAAGAAATAATAATTATTTCTATCTTATTTACAATTTTTGAAGTTTAATCTATACATTTCATTTTTTCAACGTGAACGCGAAATAAGATTTTTCTTTGTGATACACCGTATATAGCACATGTATTATGCTAGAGTTGGTATCTGTATAGGGAAGAGCACACATACAAAGATATACAATGCAAGTATACACCTATACAGATTGCAAGATTCTCGACGTGGATTTCGCTTATCGGCTGCTATTTCCTCGGCTCTGTAGAAATATAGAGGATATTCTCACCACACGACGTATATTTGATAGCCATGAAAAATCAATAAAAAATATATACATTCCACCATATCGATATCATGATCCTAGTATCTATGCAAAAGGTTCTTTCGATCGCAAAAATTATCTATTTTATCGCCACTATTTTATTAAGCATTTTTGCACATATCAAGTCATTCTTTGTTGAAATATTGATCTTTCCTCGACTAAAATAATTTCTTTTACATTCTTAAACAATTGAAGATAGGAATCTGAAAAATTGAGAGAAAAGAATTTAAGAGAAAATTCGATCGTACGAGGGAAATAGAAATAGAGAGAGAGAGAGAGAGAGAGAGAGAGAGAGAGAGAGAGAGAGAGG